GGCGCATCACTGAGGAGGAGAAGCACAGCCAGGCCCGCTGCTGCGCACCCACCTGCGTCTCCTGCCCCTGGGCCGGTCCCTGGGCAGCTCCAGGACAAACGGGAACTGGGGCTCCAACCACCTGAGCCCCGGCCGGGGCCCTGGTTACTTTCGCTGTGTCCGCCCGGTCACGCCGCCCCTCCCGCTCCTCAGGGCATCCAGTTTCTGACGGAGAACGGCCTGCTGCAGGGCGCCCCGGAGGACGTGGCGCAGTTCCTGTACAAGGGCGAGGGCCTGAACAAGACCGTCATCGGGGACTACCTGGGGGAGCGGTGAGTAGGGGGCTGCGCCGCCAATCTGCCACCCCCTCAGGGTGCTTCCCCCTGAGCTCCCAGCCCTGACGGCAGTGCTGTGGGTGCCGGCCTCCCGGGCCCCGGACGTGCCTCCCGCCCAGCACACCTTCGGGGTCAGATGACCGTCTGCCACCCTCACTCTGGCAGCTGCGACGCAGTCAGTCCCCTACAGAGTCCCCTCTGCACCAAGCCTACGAACGGGAGATCTTAACTCTTCGTCACAGGAAGTGGAAACCACAAAACCTTGTCTTAAAATGATGGGCATAGTCTGCAGGGGCCGCAAAGCACCTTCCTCTCTCCCTCCAGGGACGAGTTTAACATTAAAGTGCTCCAGGCTTTTGTCGAACTCCACGAGTTTGCTGATCTCAACCTCGTCCAAGCCTTAAGGTGAGTGTCGGCAGCTGCTGTCCGAGAGGAGCAGGTGTGGTTGGGAGTCCCCAGGTCACTCCGAGCGGCCCCGGGTCACTGCGTCCTGGTCCAGACGCCACTCCTGTGCTGGGAGCACTCGCCTGAGGGAGAGAGGCAGGCGCAGGGGCGGGGCTGTGCTGGCCTCCAGGGGCGGCCCTCCTGCGGACTGGGGTGTGGCGCCCTGTGCTGGATCCCCTCGGATGCTGCAGCAGATTCCGAGTTTCTGTTTCGGAAAACTGCCTGGTAGGGAGGTGCAGGCCGGGCCCGTTGGGGCGGGTCTGGGGGCGCAGACCCAGTGGCTGGGATGCCATTTCTTGTGGCCGCTCAGCCTCTGGCCAGAGCCTCAGGGTCTTGACTGGGGCAGGTGTCGGTGGGTGGTGAGGCCGGAACCCAGTTGGCTCGGTGGGTCCTCTGGCTCTGCTGTCCTCCTACCCCGTCCTGTCCCGCCCAGGGAAGGAGCCCTGCACTGGGGGGGCGCTGTAGGCACTGAGGCCCAGAGGGCGCTGTCTCCCCCGCCCCCCAACCCCACGCAGCAGGTCCTCCTGGCCAGTGGGGAGGCCAGGACTGGACCCTGATGGCCGTTCTGGTCTTGTCTCTCTCCAGGCAGTTCCTGTGGAGCTTCCGGCTCCCCGGGGAGGCCCAGAAAATCGACCGCATGATGGAGGCGTTCGCGTCCCGCTACTGCCTGTGCAACCCCGGCGTCTTCCAGTCCACAGGTCAGTGATGGTCGGCGGCGTGTGTGCCGTGGGGCCACCCCCAGGCCGCTCTCCTGCACACGGTGGCCTCTGACATAGCACCCAGACCAGCCTCCCTGCTCCCACCGCTGAGCCTCGCCCTCTGACCTCGCAGACACGTGCTATGTGCTGTCCTTTGCCATCATCATGCTCAACACCAGCCTGCACAACCACAACGTGCGGGACAAGCCCACGGCCGAGCGCTTCGTCACCATGAACCGAGGCATCAACGAGGGCGGGGACCTGCCCGAGGAGCTGCTGAGGGTGAGC